CTTTTCATCTCATCCCCTGCATGTATATTTCGCCTGCTCTTGCGAATTCCTTGCATTGTTAAAATCTCTAGTTGGTCGATGCATGCAGGGGATGAGATGAAAAGCTGTAAGCCTTCTCCCTGAAAGCTGGCTGCCTTGGATCAACGTGTAGCGTAAGCTGGACGCCAAGGTATTGTCCAGTGTGGTGAGAATGGTAAAGCACTGCGAACTTTGTTCCAAGGTTCGTAGGTTCGAGTCTCCTTCGGCCAGAGATCAGTGTTATATATATATATATATAAAATATATATAATATATATATAATATATATATATATATATATATTATATATATATATATATATATAATGCGTGCCGAATATGTAAAACTGGTCAATTAGCAAGAACTCATTTAAAATTAAGTCCTTTCTGAAATTTTCTATTATACGTTTAAAGATAATTTTTTTTATTAATGTTGATGTAAAAATTTTTAATTTTACCGAAAGAATCTTAGAAAACTTACCTAACCTTATTATAACAAGAGCAATTTATTTTAACCTAACCCAACTAAATATATTTTAAATACGCTTACAATAATTTAGTACTAAACAAACACAATCAGATATATTTTTTCCGTTAGATTTAAAATGATTTTGGCGAAATTATTGCATACACAAATTTTCACTTGTCCTATATGGCAAGTTGAGCGTTGCTTTTTAAGCCAAGATCGCAAGTTCTGCCTATTCGGCAAGACATGAGTTTGTTTAGTATTAAATTACTGTAAACAAATCGAAAATATATTTAGCTGGGTTAGGCTAAAATAAATGGCACTTGTTATAATAAGGTTAGGTAAGTTTTCTAAGAGTCTTTTGGTGCAAAATTAAAAATGTTTACATTAACATTAATGAAAAAAAAAATATCTTTAAACGTATAAGAAAAATTTCAGAAAGGACTTAATTTTAAATGAGTTCTTGCTAACTGATCAGTTTTACATATTCGGCACGACGTATATATGTATATTGTCTCATTTACCGAGTCCCGCGCAATTATCTGCAAGGAAATTAATTTCCTACTTAACACTATAGCCTTTAGCCCTGGACGTGTTTACACGTGATATTTGAGCCACTGTACATTGCGCCAGACTTATTTAAGCCTCTACTCTGTGAGCGAAACTAATTTCAGCCTATATACAGTGCACAAATCTTATTTAAGCCTCTACACAATGCACAAAGCATAAGTACTGATTTGCAGTCGTCATCCTTGAGGTAATCCTTGCGAGCAAGAGTGCAAGAGTGCTCGATAATCCTTGAGAGCAAAGGATTACCGAGTACTCTTGCTGTTATTGAACAAGCCAATTACGGTACCATCAAACAACTGTCAGCAGTCAGGGCTCCACCAGATAATCTGTCAGGCCGGATACGCTGCTTATTTTCATTCAGAATATTAAATAGGTGAAATATATGCTACATAAAAAGTAACCACGAATAATTAACTGGATGTACATTAACGCTTTAGTTACGTGAGCTGATTACGTTAAGAATCCTCTAGAGATTGTGATACTGTAAGCTTATCTAGGGATATGGTACAAGAGTTTACAGTGCTAGATGTAGCGTCCACCAGTGTAAAGTTAGTTTCTGAACTGCGATTTGCTGCAAATTGCTAGCTATTACGAGTTTTCAACCGGTCTCTTTCTCAACTTTCCCATCTCCCTAGAGAAAAAAATACGATAGATGGGGAAAATAATTTTATTAATATACAAATTTTCACGGCTAATTATCATTTTTTATAACAATCCCTCTTAAAATTATATACAAGCAATTTTATCGCATATAATTTTCGAAAATTATAAGTCAAACGAAATGTAGACGTCTAAACTATAAAATCAAAATACCATTAACAGATATAAATAAACTTTTAAATGACTGAGAGTTAACTAGGAAGATTGCTAATCAGTGCTGGTAAATTTCTTGTTCAGAGTGTGTGTGTGTGTGTGTGTGTGTGTGTGTGTGTGTGTGTGTGTGTGTGTGTGTGTGTGTGTGTGTGTGAGGGATAATCAGTATCTACCACAAAAGTAGTAGCGTATACCAGTTAATCTGAGAGAAAAGAAAGAGGAAAAACTTAAATACAGTGTGTGTATTAATAAAAATAAAGCCTGTCTTTGGGGCAAGAGTTATTGTCTTCAGTGCATCAGCCTCTGTCTTGAGTGTACGGGGTTCTGCCTTTAGTGTAAGGACTTCTGTATTTAGGCGAAGAGCTTTTGTCTTTACTAAAAGGGATTCTGTCTTCAGAACAAGGGCTGCTGTCAATAGATTAAGAGCGTCTTTCTTTAGTCCAAAGGCTTCCAACAAGGATTCTCTTTTCAGGACAATGGCTTTTCTCCAGACAGGGTCTCCAGGGAAACATCATCTATATTGAGAGACTTTGTAACAAGGTGTTCTGTCCTTAAAACAAAAACTACTGTCATTAGGATAAGAGTTGTTTTTAAAAGCAAGGGTTTCTATCTTTGGGATACTTGCTTATACATCAAATAATTTCTAGCGAATTCTTTTTTTCTTTAGGACACTGATCCCTGTTGACGGAGCAGGGACCCATGTCATTAGGGCAGTGACCCTTGTCTTGAGCGTAAGTTCTGTCTGTAGTGATTGATGATCTCTTGCTTATAAAACTGCAGCTGTGCTCGTCACGTCTAAAGCAATGCACTGAAAATTTACTTGCTAGAATATGCATAAGAATTGGATAAAGAAAAATCATGTAAATTTTAGAGAAAATTCAGAGCTGATTAATTATTCCTCTAAGCCATAATCTTCTACAGTAAACATCACTTGTGAATTAAGGCACTTGATTCCAAGCAACTTTTACGTTGATAAATTAGACACATGTGCAACTCTTGGGTATCTTTATTGAGGAAACGTTTCGCCACACAGTGGCTTCATCATTCTATTCAAGATTGATGGACTGACCACATCGACTCAAGGTTGAGGGACTGATTACCTCATTCTCCTCCTGTTCTTCAAGATTCTCCTTTGTATGGACTGATGAAGCCACTGTGTGGCGAAACGTTTCCTCAATAAAGATACCCAAGAGTTGCACATGTGTCTAATTTATCAACATGTCGGTTCTCTGAACCATTCATCTACAAACTTTTACGTTGGTGAACGCATTTGCAGTGTTAAATTAGTGGCATAACTCGGGCACTTGAAATGAAAAATGGAGATGATTTGCATCAGAGGTCACCGGAGCTTCAGGACACAACCCCAGCCTTCAGAAAGAAAATATTCCTGGAAAACAGTTTGCAGCAGTACATACCCAAAAATACCAGCTGTTACTACCATTAAAACTATTGGTGTAAGTGGAAGCCTGGGGGAAAGAGTTAAGTGGGGGTGTTGGTAGTAGTACTGGTTGTGGTGGTGGTAGCAAAGTGAAAATAATGATAGTGGTGTTAGTGATAGTTGTTGTGGTCTTGTAAGTGTCGGAAAGCTGTGATAGTGGTATGGTTGTCATAGTGGATGGTGGTGTGGTTGTCATAGTGGATGGTGGTGTGGTTGTCATAGTAAATGGTGGTGTGGTTGTCATAGTGGATGATGGTGTGGTTATCATAGTGGATGGTGGTGTCATTAGGGTAATGAAAATAACCCTCGAAGCTATAAACCAGGTGAAGTAGAGCTTGATCATACAGAATGTGAAAAAGACTTGGGAGTCATGGTAAGCAGAAATCTAAAGCCAAGACAGCAGTGCCTTAGTGTGCGCAACAAGAAGTATAAGTAACAGAAGTCCAAAAGTTATTTTACAGCTCTGTACATCACTAGTGAGGCCTCATTTAGATTATGCCGCTCAGTTTTGGTCTCCTTACTACAGGATGGATATAGACTCATTGGAGAACATACAGAGAAGAATGACTAGAATGATTTACTGTGTAAGGAATCTCCCGTATGAAGATAGACTTAAGATTTAAATCTCCACTCTCTGGAGAGACGCAGAATGAGGGAAGATATCATTGAAGTGTATAAGTGGATGACGGGCATAAACAAAACAGATATTAATCCAGTACTGAGGGTGTCGAACCAGGTAAGAACCAGAAATAATGAATTTAAGTTGGACAAACTTAGATTTAGAAAGGACATGGGTAAGTACTGGTTTTCTAACAGAGTTGTGTATGCGTGGAACAATCTTCCCAGTGGGGTGATAGAGGCTAGCTTGGGTAGCATTAAAAAGAGATCGGACAAATATATGAGTGGGAGGGGCTGAGTTTGATTGGTGTCATTGGGTACGGTAGTTAATTCTTGGGTAGCTTTCGGTAGAGGTCGTTTTGATAAGGACCTGCCTTGTATGGGCCAGGAGGCCTTCTGCAGTGTTCCTCCATTCTTATGTTGTTATATTGGTGTGGTTGTCATAGTGGATGGTGGTGTGATTATCAAGGTGGATGGAGGTGTGGTTGTCACTGTGGATGGTGATGTAGTTGTCACAGTGAATTGTGGTGTGGTTGTGGAGAGGAGGGAGAAAGGACTGCTACCAGCGTTCTAAGTCTAGACACCTAGACCACCAGCATAAGAGCACCCCCCCCCCTCCCATACACAGGTAAGCTAGAGAGAAGAATGAGGTGTTGAAGATTGAGACACTTATGCAACATATGGGAATCTTTATTCAGGAAACGTTTCGCCACGCAGTGGCTTCATCAGTCCGATACAAAGTAGAAAGGCGTAAGGAGAGGAGGAGTTTGAGGTATCAGTCCCTCAGCCTGGAGTCGATGTGTTCAGTCCATCAATCTTGTAGAATGTACCATTCTACAAGATTGATGGACTGAACACATCGACTCCAGGCTGAGGGACGTCCTGATTACCTCAAACTCCTCCTCTCCTTACGCCTTTCTACTTTGTATCGGACTGATGAAGCCACTGCGTGGCGAAACGTTTCCTGAATAAAGATTCCCATATGTTGCATAAGTGTCTCAATCTTCAACTTGTCGGTTTTTCAAACCATTCATCACAAGAATGAGGTGTGTTTAACCTTAGCCCGACCTCACAATACCTTTAACTCCTCTGCCTCTATGAAACCACTGTTGTCTCTGTCGTAAGTTTTCCATATCTGAAAAAAGCGAAACGAGAGAAACAATAATTAGAGACAGATAAAGAAACAGTTGGTTACATAAACATACATACACAAAGGTCACACCTTAATTTACCGGTGCCTACAGCTAGCAACAGTCTTACCTTCAGTTTATTACTGTCTATAAAACCACTGTTGTCAGCATAATGTATACAGATCTGAAAAAGACAAACTGAGGATATTATTGGACAGTTTGTGGTGTAGAGGCTGCCAGTGCAAACTGAGTTGTAGACTTCTGGTGGTGGATGAAACCTGTGGTGGAGGAGGAGATAAGCGGTGGAGGAGACTGGAGGTGTAAGAGGGTAATAGTGGAGGCATTAGTGGTAGAGAAAACTTATAGTGGAGGAGACTGACAGTGGAGTTCGAGGTGCAGGGGTCTTGTGGTGCTGTCTGGTGGCGAAGAATATTAGGAAAGAAAATAGTGATGGAGGAGAGTAGTGGTGGAGAGTAGTGGTGGAGGAGACTAGTGGTGGAGGAGACTAGTGGTGGAGGAGACTAGTGGTGGAGGAGACTAGTGGTGGAGGAGACTAGTGGTGGAGGAGACTAGTGGTGGAGGAGACTAGTGGTGGAGGAGACTAGTGGTGGAGGAGACTAGTGGTGGAGAAGACTAGTGGTGGAGAAGACTAGTGGTGGAGAAGACTAGTGGTGGAGAAGACTAGTGGTGGAGGAGACTGGTGGTGGAGAAGACTAGTGGTGGAGAAGACTAGTGGTGGAGAAGACTTGAGTTAGTGGAAAACTCAACCAGCACTGAAAGATACAAAAATAAAACAAGACAGAAACAGGTACAATCTAATTAATTTTGAGAAACAATCATAACAATTATTTACTAAACACGCCAGAATAATTACACTGAATAACATCTGTTACATTAGTTTTAACATGATATTTAAGCGCTGAGGTCAGGCATAATGGAAATTAGGTGTAATATTCGGTATTTAATCTCGCTAATGCATAGGAAACAATTACGGTATAAAGCAACATCATTATTGGAAGTCTGGAATTTATTACACATGTGACCAAAATCCTTGTTAAAGAGAGATTAAAAAAAATTATTTCTCTCGTAGATAAAAAATCTGGTTAAAAATAAAGTAATTTGCTATTATTATTTTTAAGTGCACCAATTTTTGGGGCTTAAATTTAGGAAGGTTTTGGTGTCTTCTTTTCCTACGAATTTTGTAAGGCGAGTTACGACGAATCATTTATTTATTTGCTTATCAAATGTTTTTATTTTTTTTAGGGGCAACATGTAATTTTTTTGAATAAATGAATTCATTATTTTGAGAGGCAACATGATGTAGTTTTTATTAGTTTACTAAATTGGATTTTATATTCTTGAGAGGACCAACATATATTTTCTACTATACCCGAATAAACTAAAATCAAATAGGCTTTCTTTGATCGTGAAACTGAAATTTCCAATTTTCTATAAAACTTGAGAAAACTCTGCCATACCAAAGTTTTTTTTTTTTTTCAAATTAATAATCATGAAAAATCCACAACATCCCTCCGATACTTAAACGAAATTCTTATAAAACGTTTATGGAAGTTTGGGAAACGAAAATAAAAGCATCGCGTTACAATTGAAAAAGCATTGGATCCCACTACGTGGGGTTGAGCAGAGAGAAAAACTGTGTTTTTTGGTACATGACTCTCATGCAAATAAAAATGCATTATGGACGGAGTGGTGGTGTTATAGGTGGTGGGTGGTGGTGGTACTGGTGGTGGGTGGTGGTGGTACTGGTGGTGGGTGGTGGTGTTATAGGTGGTGGGTGGTGGTGGTACTGGTGGTGGGTGGTGGTGTTATAGGTGGTGGGTGGTGGTGGTACTGGTGGTGGGTGGTGGTGTTACTGGTGGTGGGTGGTGGTATATAGGTGGTGGGTGGTGTTACAGGTGGTGGGTGATGGTGTTACTGGTGGTGGGTGGTGGTGTTACAGGTGGTGGGTGGTGGTGTTACAGGTGGTGGGTGGTGGTGTTACTGGTGGTGGGTGGTGGTGTTACTGGTGGTGGATGGTGGTGTTACTGGTGGTGGGTGGTGGTGTTACTGGTGGTGGGTGGTGGTGTTATAGGTGGTGGGTGGTGGTGTTATAGGTGGTTGGTGGTGGTGTTATAGGTGGTGGGTGGTTGTGTTACTTGTGGTGTGTGGTGGTGTTAAGGGTGGTGGATGGTAGTGTTACAGGTGATGGGTGGTGGTGTTACTTGTGGTGTGTGGTTGTGTTACTTGTGGTGTGTGGTGGTGTTAAGGGTGGTGGATGGTTGTGTTACAGGTGGTGGGTGGTTGTGTTACTGGTGGTGGATGGTACTGTTACAGGTGGTGGGTGGTTGTGTTACAGGTGGTGGGTAGTGGTGTTACTGGTGGTGGATGGTAGTGTTACAGGTGGTGGGTTGTTGTGTTACAGGTGGTGGGTGGTTGTGTTACTGGTGGTGGGTGGTGGTGTTACTGTTGGTGGATGGAAGTGTTACAGGTGGTGGGTGGTGTTACTGGTGGTGGGTGGTAGTGTTACAGGTGATAGGTGGTAGTGTTACTGGTAGAGGTTGGTAGTGTTACTGGTGGCGGGTGGTAGTGTTACAGGTGGTGGGTGGTAGCCTTACTGGTGGTTAATGGTAGTGTTACAGGTGGTAGGTGGTAGTCTTACAGGTGGTGGGTGGTAGTGTAACTGGTGGTGGGTGGTAGTCTTACTGGTGGTGGGTGGTAGTGCTACTAGTGGTAGGTGGTAGTTTTACAGGAGGTAGGTGGTAGTGTTACTGGTGGTAGGTGGTAGTGTTACTGGTGGTAGGTGGTAGTAATACTGGTGGTGGGTGATAGTGCTGCTGGTAGTGGGCGGTAGTGTTACTGGTGGTGGCTGGTAGTGTTACTGGTGGTGGGTGATAGTGCTACTGGTAGTGGGTGGTAGTGTTACTGGTGGTGGGTGGTAGTGTTGCTGGTAGTGGGTGGTAGTGTTACTGGTGGTGGCTGGTAGTGTTACTGGTGGTGGGTGATAGTGCTACTGGTGGTGGGTGGTAGTGTTACTGGTGGTGGGTGGTAGTGTTACTGGTGGTGGGTGGTAGTGTTACTGGTGGTGGGTGATAGTGTTACTGGTGGTGGGTGATAGTGCTACTGGTGGTGGGTGATAGTGCTACCGGTAGTGGGTGGTAGTGTTACTGGTGGAGGGCGGTAGTGTTACTGGTAGTGGGTGGTAGTGTTACTGGTGGTGGGTGGTAGTGTTACTGGTAGTGGGTGGTAGTGTTACTGGTAGTTGGTGGTAGTGTTACTGGTGGTGGGTGGTAGTGTTACTGGTGGAGGGTTGTAGTGTTACTGGTAGTGGGTGGTAGTGTTACTGGTGGTAGGTGGTAGTGTTACTGGTGGTGGGTGGTGGTGTTACTTGTGGAGGGTGGTAGTGTTACTGGTGGTGGCTGGTAGTGTTACTGGTGGTGGATGGTAATGTTACTGGTAGTGGGTGGTAGTGTTACTGGTAGTGGGTCGTATTATTACTGGTAGTGGGTGGTAGTGTTACTGGTAGTGGGTCGTAGTATTACTGGTAGTGTGTGGTAGTGTTACTGGTAGTGGGTCGTATTATTACTGGTAGTGGGTGGTAGTGTTACTGGTAGTGGGTGGTAGTGTTACTGGTAGTGGGTGGTAGTGTTACTGGTAGTGGGTGGTAGTGTTACTGGAAAGGGGGTGGTAGTGTTACTGGTAGTGGGTGGTAGTGTTACTGGTAGTGGGTCGTTTTAAATTTACTGGTAGTGGGTGGTAGTGTTACTGGTAGTGGGTCGTATTATTACTGGTAGTGTGTGGTAGTGTTACTGGTGGTGGGTCGTATTATTACTGGTAGTGTGTGGTAGTGTTACTGGTAGTGGGTCGTATTATTACTGGTAGTGGGTGGTAGTGTTACTGGTGGTGGGTCGTATTATTACTGGTAGTGTGTGGTAGTGTTACTGGTAGTGGGTCGTATTATTACTGGTAGTGGGTGGTAGTGTTACTGGTAGTGGGTCGAAATTAAATTTACTGGTAGTGGGTGGTAGTTTACTGGTAGTGGGTCGTAGTATTACTGGTAGTGTGTGGTAGTGTTACTGGTGGTGGGTCGTATTATTACTGGTAGTGGGTGGTAGTGTTACTGGTGGTGGGTCGTATTATTACTGGTATGTGTGGTAGTGTTACGGGTAGTGGTCGTATTAATTTACTGGTAGTGGGTGGTAGTGTTACTGGTAGTGGGTCGTATTAATTACTGGTAGTGGGTGGTATTGTACTGGTAGTGGTCGTATTATTACTGTAGTGTGTGGTAGTGTTACTGGTGGTGGGTCGTATTATTACAGGTAGTGGGTGGTAGTGTTACTGGTGTGGGTCGATTATTACTGGTAGTGTTGGTAGTGTTACTGTAGTGGGTCGAAATTATTACTGGTAGTGGGTGTAGTGTTACTGGTAGTGGGTCGTATTATTACTGGTAGTGTGTGGTAGTGTTACTGGTAGTGGGTCGTATTATTACTGGTAGTGGGTGGTAGTGTTACTGGTGGTGGTCGTATTATTACTGGTAGTGTGTGGTAGTGTTTACGTAGTGGTCGTATTATTACTGGTAGTGGGTGTAGTGTTTCTGGTAGTGGGTCGTAGTATTACTGGTAGGTGTGGTATGTTTACTGGTAGTGGGTCGTATTATTACTGGTAGTGGGTGGTAGTGTTACTGGTAGTGGGTCGTATTATTACTGGTAGTGTGTGGTAGTGTTACTGGTAGTGGGTCGTATTATTACTGGTAGTGTGTGGTAGTGTTACTGGTAGTGGGTCGTATTATTACTGGTAGTGGGTGTAGTGTTACTGGTAGTGGGTCGATTATTACTGGTAGTGGGTGATAGTGTTACTGGTAGTGGGTCGTATTATTACTGGTAGTGGGTGTAGTGTTACTGATAGTGGGTCGTAATTATTACTGGTAGGGGGTGGTAGTGTTAAACTGGTAGTGGGTCGTATTATTACTGGTAGTGTGTGGTAGTGTTACTGGTAGTGGGTCGTATTATTACTGGTAGTGGGTGGTAGTGTTACTGGTAGTGGGTCGTATTATTACTGGTAGTGGGTGGTAGTGTTACTGTAGTGGGTCGTATATTACTGGTAGTGTGTGGTATGTTACTGTAGTGGGTCGTATTATTACTGGTAGTGGGTGGTAGTGTTACTGGTAGTGGGTCGTAGTATTACTGGTAGTGGGTGGTAGTGGGGATGAAAAGTCCCCTTGAGCTGTTGAAAAATTCCTCTTCATCTATTGAAGAGTCCCTTTCAGCCGCTGAAAAGGTCTCTCTTTGCGAAAGCAAAGTAAACTAACCCATTTTTAGGGCATTTATGTACTAATCTTCATAAGTTTAATTCCCGGTTCCTAAACTTAATTACTGTTAAAGGAAATGGTAATAAAAACAATCCTTCTGAGATTAGTAAATGAATCAACATTTTTATTGTGGATATGTAAGCATAATTGAATATAAATATGCTAACCAACATAGGATAATCAGAAAGTATGAAATAGGAAAGACTGACGACATTATTTACTGTTATATTAACGATGTCCCTTTCGAAATTAATGATATCCATTGTGAAATTAATGATGTCTAATGTGAGTGTAAAAAAAAAATGGGAAGCCGATACATGCTTCCTCTCAAACACTCCTGCACTCTAGTCGGTAATGAACTTGCTAGTACTCTCCTGCACTTTAGTCAATAACCAGCATGATGACACTCGCTCTCCTCCACTCTAGTGAATACTCAACTTGCTGACACTCTCCTGCACTTTAGTCAATAACCAGCATGATGACACTCACTCTCCTCCACTCTAGTGAATACTCAACTTACTGACACTCTCCTGCACTTTAGTCAATAACCAGCATGATGACACTCACTCTCCTCCACTCTAGTGAATACTCAACTTGCTGACACTCTCCTGCACTTTAGTCAATAACCAGCATGATGACCACTCTCCTCCACCTATACTCAGTAATCCCCGCATTTTCCCCCGACAACTCTCCTGCACTATAGTCAATAACCAGCATGCTGACACTCTCCTGCACTTTAGTCAATAACCAGCATGCTGAACCCCTTTCTCTCTGCTGACCCCACTTTAGTCAAAAAACCAGCATGATGACACTCACTCTCCTCCACTCTAGTGAATACTCAACTTGCTGACACTCTCCTGCACTTTAGTCAATAACCAGCATGCTGACACTCTCCTGCACTTTAGTCAATAACCAGCATGCTGACACACTCCTCCACTCTAGTGAATACTCAACTTGCTGACACTCTCCTGCACTTTAGTCAATAACCAGCATGCTGACACTCTCCTGCACTTTAGTCAATAACCAGCATGCTGACACTCTCCTGCACTTTAGTCAATAACCAGCATGATGACAGTTATTCTCATTTGCTTCAGTTATCTTTTTTATCTTCACTGAACTCTCTTCAATTCCTTCATTTACCGTCCTTGCTTTCTTCCTAATGCTTTCTCTCATTATCTCCGCCCTTCCCTAACTGATCATAACTTTCCAATTTTAATGAACTCTCTCATAAACTCTCTCCTCAGGCTGCTGGTTTATATAATTCCTCTCTATATCTTGCATTACTTTCTATGATAAATCTCTATTTACTTTCTTTTGGCTTTCTTCCCTTCAAACATTTCCAGTTCTTCACATACTCCCTCGTATAGATTTTCCTTTACTCTCTCGACTGATCCCCTCACTCTCCTCCCTCCCCCCCTCTCTCTCCTCTGTCCACCCCCTTTTTTTCTATATTCCTCTTTATGCCTGTCTCTTCCTCTCTCTCATCTTCTAAATTTGCTCTTGTAACTCTTTCATTACTAGCTAGAGTCATCTTCCTGTCTCTCTAGTGTTATTTTCCCCTTCCAGTATCACCTTCCCCGCCTCACGTCACCTTCTCTCACCTTCATAAACTCGACGGAGGAGTCCAGAGGGTTGTCAAATCGGAAGAGAAGTAGGAAATTCTCCTCCATGGGCAGCAACTGTGCCAGCTGAAGGATAAAATACAAAATAGTGATATTAATTTATATATATATATATATATAATATATATATATATATATATAAATATATATATATATATATATATATATATATATATAATATGATAATGTGACTACTCACATTATCAATGATAATGTGAGTAGTCACGAAAGCCCTTGGAACTTCTCTATTCTTTCACAGTGGTTGTTTTGCATGTTCTGAAATCACCTGTTTACTGTGATCTTATTGCATATATATATATATATATATATATATATATATATATATATATATATATATATAAATATATATATATATATAAGTTGCAGAGGTTGGTGGATGAATTTGGTAGGGTATGTAAAAGAAGAAAATTAAAAATGAATACAGGAAAGAGTAAGGTTATGAGGATAACAAAAAGATTAGGTGATGAATGATTGGATATCAGATTGGAGGGAGAGAGTATGGAGGAGGTGAATGTATTCAGATATTTGGGAGTGGACGTGTCAGCGGATGGATCTATGAAACATGAAGTGAATCATAGAATTTAAGAGGGGAAAAGGGTGAGCGGTGCACTTAGGAGTCTGTGGAGACAAAGAATTTTGTCCTTGGAGGCAAAGAGGGGAATGTATGAGAGTATAATTTTACCAGCGCTCTTATATGGGTGTGAAGCATGGGTGATGAATGTTGCAGCTAGGAGAAGGCTGGAGGCAGTGGAGATGTCATGTCTGACTGCAATGTGTGGTGTGAATATAATGCAGAGAATTCGTAGTTTGGAAGTTAGGAGGAGGTGCGGGATTACCAAAACTGTTGTCCAGAGGGCTGAGGAAGGGTTGAGGTGGTTCGGACATGTATAGAGAATGGAGCGAAACAGAATGACTTCAAGAGTGTATCAGTCTGTAGTGGAAGGAAGGCGGGGTAGGGGTCGGCCTAGGAAAGGTTGGAGGGAGGGGGTAAAAGAGGTTTTGTGTGCGAGGGGCTTGGACTTCCAGCGGGCGTGCGTGAGCGTGTTTTATAGGAGTGAATGGAGACAAATGGTTTTTAATACTTGACGTGCTGTTGGAGTGAGCAAAGTAACATTTATGAAGGTATTCAGGGAAACCGGCAGGCCGGACTTGAGTCCTGGAGATGGGACGTTCAGTGCCTGCACTCTGAAGGAGTGGTGTTAATGTTGCAGTTTAAAAACTGTATTGTAAAGCACCCTTCTGGCAAGACAGTGATGGAGTGAATGATGGTGAAAGTTTTTCTTTTTCGGGCCACCCTGCCTTGGTGGGAATCGGCCGATGTGTTAATAATATATATATATATATATATATATAATATATATATATATATATATATATAATATATATATATATATATATATATATACATATATTTTTTTTTTCAACAAGTTGGTCGTCTCCCACCGAGGCAGGGGGACCCAAAAAAGAAAGAAAATCCCCAAAAAGAAAACACTTTCATCATCATTCAACACTTTCACCACACTCACACATTATGACTGCTTTTGCAGAGGTGCTCAGAATACAACAGTTTAGAAGCATATATGTATGTATAAAGATACACAACATATCTCTCCAAACTGCCAATATCCCAAACCCCTCCTTTAAAGTGCAGGCATTGTACTTCCCATTTCCAGGACTCAAGTCCGACTATAAGAAAATAACCGGTTTCCCTGAATCACTTCACTAAATATTACCCTGCTCACACTCCAACAGATCGTCAGGTCCCAAGTATCATTCGTCTCCATTCACTCCTATCTAACACGCTCATGCACGCTTGCTGGAAGTCCAAGCCCTCGCCCACAAAACTTCCTTTACCCCCTCTTTCCAACCCTTTCGAGGACGACCCCTACCCCTCTTTCCTTCCCCTATAGATTTATATGCTTTCCATGTCATTCTACTTTGATCCATTCTCTCTAAATGACCAAACCACCTCAACAACCCCTCTTCTGCCCTCTGACTAATGCTTTTATTAACTCCACACCTTCTCCTAATTTCCACACTCCGAATTTTCTGCATAATATTTACACCACAAATTGCCCTTAGACAGGACATCTCCACTGCCTCCAACCGTCTCCTCGCTGCTGCATTTACCACCCAAGCTTCACATCCATATAAGAGTGTTGGTACTACTATACTTTCATACATTCCCTTCTTTGCCGCCATAGATAACGTTTTTTGACTCCACATATACCTCAACGCACCACTCGCCTTTTTTCCCTCATCAATTCTATGATTAACCTCATCCTTCATAAATCCATCCGCCGACACGTCAACTCCCAAGTATCTGAAAGCATTCACTTCTTCTATAGTCCTCCTCCCCAATTTGATATCCATTTTTTCTTTATCTATATCATTTGATACCCTCATCACCTTACTCTTTTCTATGTTCACTTTCAAGTTTCTACCTTTACACACATTCTCAAACTCATCCACTAACCTTTGCAATTTTTCTTTAGAATCTCCCATAAGCACAGTATCATCAGCAAAAAGTAACTGTGTCAATTCCCATTTTGAATTTGATTCCCCATAATTTAATCCCACCCCTCTCCCGAACACCCTAGCATTTACTTCTTTTACAACCCCATCTATAAATATATTAAACAACCATGGTGACATTACACATCCCTGTCTAAGACCTACTTTTACCGGGAAGTAGTCTCCCTCTCTTCTACACACCCTAACCTGAGCCTCACTATCCTCATAAAAGCTCTTTACAGCATTTAGTAACTTATCAACTATTCCATAAACTTGCAACATCTGCCACATTGCTTCTCTATCCACTCTACCATATGCCTTTTCTAAATCCATAAATGCAATAAAAACTTCCCTACCTTTATCTAAATACTGTTCACATATATGCTTCAATGTAAACACTTGATCTACACATCCCCTACCCACTCTGAAGCCTCCTTGCTCATCCGCAATTCTACATTCTGTCTTACCTCTAATTCTTTCAATTATAACTCTACCGTATACTTTTCCTGGTATACTCAGTATATATATATATATATATATATTATATATATATATATATATATATATATATATATATATATATATATATATATAATATATTGTAGAAGTTGGTTGATAGCAACCACCCAGGGGGGTACTACCGTCCTGTCAAGTGAGTGTAAAACGAAAGCCTGTAATTGTTTTACATGATGGTAGGATTCCTGGTGTCTTTTGTCTGTCTCATAAATATGCAAGATTACAGGTACGTCTTGCTACTTCTACTTATACTTAGGTCACACTACACATACATGTACATGTTTATTTATACACATCTGAGTTTCCTTTGATTTATCTTAATAGTTCTTGGTCTTATTACTTTTCCTTTTGTATCCATGGGGAAGTGGAATAAGAATCTTTCCTCCGTAAGCCATGTAAAAGTCAACTAAAATGCCAGGAACAATGGGCTAGTAATCCTTTTTCCTGTAATTACTAAAAAGAATAAGAAAATTGTCAAAGTGGGAAGTCTGAATGTGCGTGGATGTTGTGCGAATGATAGAGATGATTGTGGATTTTATGAATGAGAAGAAGCTGGATGTCCTGGCTTTAAGTGAAAGAAAGCTGAAGGGGGTGGGAGAGTTTTAGTGGAAAAGAATAAATCGGATTAGGTCAGGGGTTTCAAATAGAGTTAGAGCTAAAGAAGGAAAAGCAATAATGTTGAAGGATAAGTTATGGCAGGAAAAGAGGGACTATAAATGTATTAATTCAAGGATCATGTGGAGTAAAATGAAGGTTGGATGTGAAAAGTAGGTTATAGTAAGCGTATATGCACCTGTTGAAGAGAGAAGTGTAGAGGAGAGAGAGAGAGATTTTGGGAAATGTTGAGTGAATGCGTGGGGAGTTTTGAACCAAGTGTGAGAGTAATGGTAGTTGCGGATTTCAATGCTAAAGTGGGCAAAAATGTGGAGGTAGTAGGTGAATTTAGGGTGCCAGGGGTAAATGAAAATGGGGAGCCTTTAATTGAGCTATGTGTAGAAAGAGGTTTGGTAATAAGTAATACATATTTTATGAAGAAGAGGATAAATATGCAAGGTATGATATAGCACATAATGAAAGTAGTTAGATTATGTATTGGTGGATAAAAGGTTGATGGGTAGGCTCCAGGAAGTACACGTTTATAGAGGAGCAACTGATATATCGGATCATTATTTAGATGTAGCTACAGTTAGAATAAGAGGTAGATGGGGAAAGAGGAAAATGGAAACAACAAGCAAGAGGGAGGTAAAAGTGTATAAACTAAGGGAGGAGGAAGTTCGGGTGAGATATAAGCGACTATTGGCAGAAAGGTGGGCTGGTGCAGGTATGAGTAGTGGGGGGGTTGAAGAGGGTTGGAATAGTTTTAAAAAATGCAGTATTAGAATGTGGGGCAGAAGTTTGTGGTTACAGGAGGGTGGGGGCAGGAGGAAAGAGGAGTGATTGGTGGAATGATAAAGTAAAGGGTGTGATAAAAGAGAAAAATTTAGCTTATTAGTGGTTTTTACAAAGCAGAAGCGTTATAAGAAGAGTAGAGTATATGGAGAGTAAAAGAAAGGTGAAGAGAGTGGTGAGAGAGTGCAAAAGGAGAGCAGATGATTGAGTGGGAGAGGCACTGTCAAGAAATTTTAATGAAAATAAGAAAAAAAATTTGGAGTGAGTTAAACAAGTTAAGAAAGTCTATGGAACGTATGGATTTGTCAGTTAAAAACAGAGTAGGGGAGTTAGTAGATGGGGAGATGGAGGTATTAGGTAGATGGCGAGAATATTTTGAGGAACTTTTAAATGTCGACGAAGAAAGGGAGGCGGTAATTTCATGCACTGGCCAGGGAGGTATACCGTCTTTTAGGAGTGAGGAAGAGCAGGATGTGAGTGTGGGGGAGGTGTGTGAGGCATTACGTAGAATGAAAGGGGGTAAAGCAGCTGGAACTGACGGGATCATGACAGAAATGTTAAAAGCAGGGGGGGATATAATGTAGGAGTGGTTGGTATTTTTGTTTAATGTATGAAAGAGGGGAAGGAACCTAGGGATTGGCAGAGAGCATGTATAGTCCCTTTATATAAAGGGAAGGGGGACAAAAGAGATTGTAAAAATTATAGAGGAATAAGTTTACTGAGTATACCAGGAAAAGTGTACGGTAGGGTTATTATTGAAAGAATTAGAGGTAAGACAGATTGTAGAATTGCAGATGAGCAAGGAGGTTTCAGAGTGGGTAGGGGATGTGTAGATCAAGTGTTTACATTGAAGCATATATGTGAACAGTATTTAGATAAAGGTAGGAAAGTTTTTATTGCATTTATGGATTTAGAAAAGGCATATGATAGTGGATAGGGGAGCAATGCGGCAGATGTTGCAAGTATATGGAATAGGTGGAAAGTTACTAAATGCTGTAAAGAGTTTTTATGAGGATAGTGAGGCTCAGGTTAGGGTGTGTAGAAGAGAGGGAGACTCCTTCCCTGTAAAAGTAGGTCTTAGACAGGGATGTGTAATGTCACCATGGTTGTTTAATATATTTATAGATGGGGTTGTAAAAGAAGTAAATGCTAGGGTGTTTGGGAGAGGGGTGGTATTAAATTATGGGGAATTAAATACAAAATGGGAGTTGCCACAGTTGCTTTTTGCTGATGATACTGTGTTTATGGGAGATTCTAAAGAAAAATTGCAAAGGTTAGTGAATGAGTTTGGGAGTGTATGTAAAAGTAGAAATTTGAAAGTGAACATAAAAAAGAGTAAGGTGATGAGGGTATCAAATGATTTAGATAAAGAAAAGTTGGATATCAAATTGTGGAGGAGGAGTATGGAAGAAGTGAACGTTTTCAGAAACTTGGGAGTTGACGTGTCGGCGGATGGATATATGAAGGATGAGGTTAATCATAGAATTGATGAGGGAAAAAAAGGTGAGTGGTGCGTTGAGGTATATGTGGAGACAAAAAAACGTTATCTATGGCGGCAAAGAAGGGAATGTATGAAAGTATAGTAGTACCAACACTCTTATATGGGTGTGAAGCTTGAGTTGTGAATGCAGCAGCGAGGAGGCGGTTGGAGGCAGTGGAGATGTCCTGTCTAAGGGCAATGTATGGTGTAAATATTATGCAGAAAATTCGGAGTGTGGAAACTAGGAGAAGGTGTGGAGTTAATAAAAGTATTAGTGAGAGGGTTGAAGAGGGGTTGTTGAGGTGGTTTGGTCATTTAGAGAGAATGGATCAAAGTAGAATGACATGGAGGGCATTTAAATCTGAGGGAGAAGGAAGGCGGGGTAGGGGTCGTCGTCGAAAAGGTTGGAAGGAAGGGGTAAGGGAGGTTTTGTGGGCGAGGGGCTTGGACTTCCAGCAGGCGTGCATGAGCGTGTTCGATAGTAGTGAATGGAGACGAATGGTATTTGGGACCTGACGATCTGTTGGAGTGTGAGCAGGGTAATATTTAGTGAAGGGATTCATGGAAACCGGTTATTTTTATATAGTCGGACTTGAGTCCTGGAAATGGGAAGTACAATGCCTGCACTCTAAAGGAGGGGTTCGGGATATTAGCAGTTTGGAGAGATATGTTGTGTATCTTTATACGTTTAGGCTTCTAAACTGTTGTGTCTTGAGCACCTCTGCAAAAACAGTGATTATGTCTGAGTGAGGTGAAAGTGTTGAATGATGAAAGTATTTTCTTTTTGGGTCACCCTGCCTCGGTGGGAGACGGCCGGCTTGTTAAATAAATAAATATATATATATATATATATATATATATATATAATATATATATATATAATATATATATATATATATATATATATATATATTATATGGTGTGTATGTGTCTGTAGATGTTTTTTAATCTGTATTTCAACGATTCATAGCATATATGTTTACATTTCAATGCATACATGCGGTGGGGTATTTACATATACATACATAGAGTTGCTAACTATATGGAAACCCCTAATCTAAGTTGCCGAGTTCCTCGAGCTAATCAGGCGCTGATCGAGAGCCCAAGATGTAGCAGGCTTTTCCTGTCTTGATTGCCTCGCTGAGGCGCTTGAAGAGAAAGGTGGCACCCCTTGGGTCTCTGGTAGTTTCGATGACATAGGTCAGATTGATGAGGTACCTACCTGTTTTTATCTCGCAGTCACCCATCCACATCCTGTCATCCTTAGTGAGCTCTGACTTACCTCCCTGATCTCAATCTTGCCGTCCTGGTTGTCGTCATAAGCCTCCATGAAGCACTCCTTCAGTTCCACCAACATGGCGTCCGACACAGACTATCGACCACAATATCAAGTAATTAGTTGTATTTCATATATTATGTATATTATGCAAATATCGCAAACCAAGCGATATAAGATGTAAAACAACCATGCAACCTAATGTGTTGCAATCAACACATCAGGACCTTGCAATGATGCAGTAAAGAGGAGGAGGTTCAAGCAAATACGTCCTTGCTGGAGTGAGCTCCAGCAGACATTTCCTTTGACCGTATTTGCTTGGATCACCTCTTTTCCGTATCATTGCAGGATCCTGATGTGTTGATTGCAACACAAATGGCCTAGTATATGTCGTGCCGATTTTGGCTTAAATAGCAACGCTCTTCTTGCCAAATAGGGCAAGCGAAAATTTGCGGATACAGTAATATCGCTAAAATCATTCTGAACCTAAGGATAAAAAAATATATAACATTTTGTTTGTTTATTATTAAATTATTGTAAACTTATCTAAAATATATTTAGTTGGATTAGGCTAAATAATATTGCGATTGTTATAATAATGTAAGTTTTCTAAGGTTCTTTTGGTACAAAATTATTAATGTTTACATTAACATAAAGGAAAAAATATATCTTAAAACGTATAAGAGAATTTTAGAAAGGACCAATTTTACCTATTCGGCGCGACATGTATATAATACATAAATCGAGAAACTTAGACATCCAGCATACATATGTGAGATCGGGGTGAGTGGAGGCAAGTGGTTTTTGTAACTTAACGTGCTGTTAATTGTTAGTCTGATCAAGGTGACATTTATGAAGGGATTTGGGAAAACTAATTAACCGGACTTGAGTCCTGGAGATGGGAAGTACAGTATCTGTAGCCTGAAGGAGGAGATGGGGAATGCTACAGTTCTGGGCAGCATCTGAGCTGTAATGTCGGCACGCATCTGGCAAAACAATAATGGAATGAGAGATGGTAAGTGTTTCTTCTCTTTCGGATCACTCTACCTTGGTGGAAGATCGCTGAAGGGAGGTGCTGTCAAAAAATTTACTGAGAATATGAAAATTTTGGAGTGAGATTAATAAGCTGAGAAAGCTTAGGAAACAAATGGATATAACAGTTAAAAACAGAAGAGGAGAGTTAGATGAGTTGGAGGTATTGGGAATATGGAGAGAATGTTTTGAGGAGCTGTTGAATGTTGATGTAGAGGGAAGCTGCGACTTCATGCATTAGGCAGGGAGGTAAAATATCTATTAGAAGTGAGGAAGAGCCAGTTGTGAGTGGGGGAGGTGTGTGGGACAGTGGGTAAAATGAAAGTGGGGAAAGCATCTGGGATTGATGGCATCAAGACAGAAATGTTAAAAGTATTTTGGGATATACTTTTGGAGTGGTTGGTGCATTTTATTTAATAAGGTTCTAAAGAAGGGAAGGTACCCAGGGATTGGTAGAGAGCGTGTATAGTTCCTGTTGTATAAAGCCTAAGGGATCAAAAGATATTGTAAAAATTATAGGGTAATAAACCTGTAGAGTATATCTGATAAGACGTATGGTAGTTATTACTGAAAGAATTGAGTGAGACGGAGAGCAAAATCACAGAATAACAATACACAAATAACCCGCACATAAAAGAGAGAAGCTTACGACGACGTTTCGGTCCGACTTGGACCATTGACAAAGTCACACTGTGACTGTCACAGTGTGACTTTGTCAATGGTCCAAGTCGGACCGAAACGTCGTCGTAAGCTTCTCTCTTTTATGTGCGGGTTATTTGTGTATCGTTCCAGTCACGGTATTGTGCCTTTTTGTTATTCACGGAATAACAATAATGCTTTAGGAAGGGTAGAGGATGCGTAGACCAAGTATTTACATTGAAGCATACAAGTGAATAGCGTTTAGGTAAGGGTAAAGAAGTTTATGTTGCATTTATGGATTTGGAAAAGGAGAGAGGGAGATTATTTTTCTGTAAAAGCAGATCTTAGACAGGGATGCGTGATGTCATCAGGGTTGTTTAATATAGTTATAGATGAGGTTGTAAGAAAGTGAGTGGAGTGGTGTTGCTCAAAGGTGCGAGATTGCAAGATAAAGAATCTAATACACAGTGAGAGTTGTCACAGTTGATTCTTGCTGATGACACTGCTTTTGGGAAATTCTGAAGAGAAGTTGCAAAGGTTGGTGGACGAATTTTGAAAGATACATAAAAGGAAATTAAAAGTGAACATTAGAAAGAGCAAGGTGATAAAAGTAACAAACAATTTAGGTAATGAAGGACTGAACATCACGTTGGGGGGATGAAGTTATCAGCAGATGGGTTTAAGAAGGTGAAGCAAATCATAGAATTCACGAGGGCAAAATTGTGAGTTGTGTATTCAAGAATCTGTGGAGACACAGAATGTTATCAATGGAAGCAAAACGGTGTGAAGCATGGGTTGTGAAAGTTGCAGCAAGGAGGCTGGAGGCAGTCGACATGTGTCTGAGGGCATTGTGTGGTGTGAATATTATACAATTACGCAGAGAATCCATAGCTTGGAGATTAGCAGGAGGTGCGGGGTTAAAATATTATCCAGAGGGCTGTTGAGGTGGTTTGGGCATTTAGAAACAAAATAAGATTGGAGGGAGTATAATCTATAGTGGAGGGAAGGCGGGTTGGGGTCGTAATAGGAAAGGTTAAGGGGAGGGGGTAAGAACGGGTTTATGTGCGAGGGGCTTAGACATCCAACAGTCGTGTGTGAGCGTGTTAGTGAATAGAGGCAACCGTTTATGACTTGACGTGTTGTTGTAGTGTGAGAGAGGTAACATGTATGAAGGGATTCAGGAAAACTGGTTAGCTGGACTTGAATCCTGGAGGTGGGAAGTATGGTGCTTGCACTCTGAATGAATAAGGGATGGGGATTTATGCCGTTTTGAACTGCAGTATCGGCGCCCCTCTGGCAAGACAGTGATGGAGTGAATGACTGTAAAAGTTTCTTCTCCTTTGCGTCACCCTAACTTGATTTTTAGTGTGTGTGTGTGTGTGTGTGTGTGTGTGTGTGTGTGTGTGTGTGTGTGTGTGTGTGTGTGTGCATGTATGTGTGTGTAGTATATGTCGTGCTGAATAGGTAAAATTGGTCAATTAGCAAGAGCTCGTTTAAAATTAAGTAATTTCTAAAATTTTCTGTTATACGTTTAAAGATATATTTTTTTAATTTATGTTAATGTAAAAATTAATAATTTTGTACCAAAAGAACCTTAGAAAACTTACCTAATCTTATTATAACAAGCGCAAATTAGTTTAGCCTAATCCAACTAAATATATTTTAAATAAGTTTACAATAATTTAATAATAAACAAACACAATGAAAAAAAAATTTCGTTAGGTTCAGAATAATTTTTGAGAAATTATGGCATACACAAATTTTCAATTGCCTTATTCGGCAAGAAGAGCGTTGCTATTTAAGCCAAAATCTCAAGTTTTACCTATTCGGCACTATATATATATATATATATATATATATATATATATATATATATATTATATATATAATTTATATATATATATATATATATATATATATATATATATATATATATATATATATATATATATATATATATATATTTATTTATTTATTTATTTATTTATTAAGGATGGGGTCTACCTCTGGTGTAAATTGTGGGACCCATAATTGCCTCGGAGAAGTGGATAAAAAGGCTTCAAGGAAGAATATTTGGATTTCTTCCTGAAGCCGTTTGAATATTCCACTTCCCATACCACCCCATCTTTTCATATATATATATTTTTTTACTAATAGGAATATTTTATTACATAATATGGTACAGAAGATTTAAGAGATACATTGTTGATATGAAGGTGGCATATACGGTACATGTTGTTACGTGTGTATCACCGATTATAAGGCGAAAATCTCATCCAGCTCCTCAGAGCTGGGGCGTGTGCCCAAAATACAGCAGGCATTACCCCTTTGAAAAGCCGCACTGAGCTGCCGGAACAGAAAACTAGCTGTCCTGGGATCCCTAGTTACCCTAATGAGTCTTTTTTCCCAGCTCCTTAAGGAATTTAGATGCACTCTTTCCCCATGAGCCAAGGGTCTCTGAGCCTATGGGAACAAACATATAATGATGGGCAAGTTCTCCATATTTTCTAGACTTTTGGGACTCCCTGAAGCTGGCAGCTGCCCCTCCTTCCTCCCTGGTGTATTGGAGATAGGTATCAGCCAAGGTAGATGCACATGTATAGTCCCACACCACCTGCTTCCCATCTGTCCAGGCTTGAAGGGTGATACCATCTGGACGCTTCTGGTTGCCATCAGATCTGCATAGTTGGGGTGGCTCCCTTACTGCTGGGCATCCAGCTGTTGTGAGGCTCCTCTTGATAATGTTATTAACCTCCTCATGTCTTGCAATCTTTCCCTCGGATTTACGGCACACAAGACCATGGTACCCGAATCGGTCTGCTGCTTCACTGCCACAAATACACCTATGTTCGGCGAGAATAGGGGCGGCAAGTCGAAGGGCAACACCGATGCGGATGGTCTGTGGGTCGAGGCGTGTGCCAAGGCTGGAGTTTGGAACAGCCAACAGAAAGTCCCCGGCATGAGGGGCTCTCACTGCCAGGAGACGGGCTCTATCCTTCCCTGACACACTCTTGACAATGTGAGTAGTCACGAAAGCGCTTGGAATTTCACTACTCTTTCACAGTGGTTCTTTTGCATATTTTAAAATCACCTGTTTACTGTGATCTTATTGCGCATATATATATATATATATATATATATATATATATATATATATATATATATATATATATATATTACACACACACACACACACACACAGTAAGGCTGACAGTGCGAGAATGGCAGCTGTGATATAAATATTGTCTGTCAGCTGAAAGAGACAATCTGACAGATGAGTTGCAGAAGAAGGCATGGTATCACGGGAGGAGCAGGAGCTTAGAGGGCAGAGAGAGAGAGAGAGAGAGAGAGAGAGAGAGAGAGAGAGAGAGAGAGAGAGAAAGAGAGAGAAAGAGAGAGAGAGAGAGAGAGAGAGAGAGAGAGAG